CAATGAGGATGGTGGCTAGGAAGTGAATGATACAGCTGCTTTTTGCCCACTGCTTTCTTGAACAGGGAGGCAGCCCTTAGAGGAGTGCTGATCACAAACAGGGATTTATGTGAGTAAAGAATTATATATACCCTAAAACCATGTCATTATGGCAATTATATTAAGCATTTTGGTGAAGTCTTCAGAGGAGTATAAACCATTAAAAAAGAAAGCTGTCAGAGGGGTTTATATCCTAATGCTACTTGTGTGAGTGAAGAATACCATCTTAAAAACATCTTCAATATAATTGATATTGGTGACTTTTGTTTTTACTTCCCAATCACCTCGAAATAGTTCCAGTATTTCTGAAACTTTAACTTTTTACGTTTTTTTTTTTTAAATAAGTCTTCCTATTTTGGTTTACTATTTAAGCTCAATTGTGAAGTTTAAGCTCTTGGAATGGGCCTAAACTACAAAAATTTGAACAACACCTAGAAGAAATTAAGAGTCCAGTAAATGTTTTGCCTTAAAGTAAAAGATGGTTCCAAGACGTTCAGCCTGGGAAGAAAGATGGTTGAAGTGACTGAAACAGGGTAACTAGAAAAAAAACTAATAGGAGAAAAAAATTATTTTAGCTTGTGCATAAATGTCTGTTATACAATTTCTACATTTAGATGTTTAATGGCAGTTGGAAGCATTGATTTGGACACACAAGAGTTAAGAGTAGAGATACCAATTTAATAGGCATCTACATTCTCTTGAAAGTTTGTAATAGGTAAGTGTACTGTGATCTTTCTCCCTTATTCCCTAGCCTCTAGTCAGCTATGCCAAATTAATTTCTTCTCCTGAAATTTTGACATTTTTTCTTTCTAATATGCTACATTATACTTTTGTGTGCAACATGAGGGATTACGGTCAGGGAGAGAGAAAATGAAGAGTTTATTTCTATTACTCAGCTAAGTATCAGAAACACAGCGAGGTTAAAAAGGATGTCTGCAGAAGTGCTTGAATGACAAGTTACATGAGGAATTGTGTGCAAACACAGAAACCGTTTGGTAATATGTCTCTTCGTTAAATTAAGCCTGCTGTCTGTCACCCTCTGCCATTACTGTTACATCACAGCTAGCTTACCATCCAGATTCCTTTACCAACTATTTGGGAATCTACTAAAACCATTCTTTGATAGTACAGTCAGCCCTGGGAAAGACATCTGAGCTTTAATTAAGCAATGTATATGGGGGAAATTTTCTGGTATCTTGTTTAGTAGACAAGAGTAATATATTCCTCTCTCCAAATATGCTATTAGATGACATGGGGTAAGTTTGGAGAGATTTATAACAAAATGACACTAATGTGGCAATAGAATTTGTTAGCCCATTCTTTTATGTTTCTCAGTGGAGATCTTTACATAGTAAAATATCAGGTTAGGGCTTAGTGTAATGATTTTTGGAACAAGATAATGTTATTTCAGAACACTTCATTTAGAAAAATATCTTTTTTCTCATACTTCCTTATCCTAATTTAATTTGCTTTGATGCTCAGGGGTTATAGGAAGTGTGGTTGTGCCCTTCTTTGCTCTTGCCTCACAAAACTTTCAACAGAAACCAATCAACACACATGTGTCATTAATCTTCTTAACACTAAGCAGAAAAGACCAAATCGAAAGTCTGGTGCTCTTTCCATGAATACACATCAGGACTGGTCCGTTTATCTCTGCATAGGCATGTGTGATGAAAACAGTATGTCACTGTGTGGTTTTCTAAGTGGAGAGCTGGAACTATGTGAAGAACAAGGAGCCTCCCATGCTGTTGGAAGTTTTTACTTCTTTGCACCATCATTTATATTGCTTTGACTATGGTATCTTCCAAGTATCAGGAGATATTTCTCCCCTAAAAGAACACTGGTTGGGCTGAAAACAGTGGCTCATGCTTAGCACTTTGGAAGGCTGACATGAGAGACTCAGCTGAGGCCAGGAGTTCAAGACTAGCCTGGGCAACATTGTGAGACACCATCTTTACAAAACAAAAAGCCCTTAGGCAGTTTTTTTGAGAATAAAGCATGTCTTAGGCCACATACCTTTATTTCTTTCACCCTTGCTCTATCTTGCTAACTATTATCTCATAAAAAAAATTTCATAAAATGATTTGGGAAGGATTCCCTCTTTTTGGATTATTTGGAATAGTTTCAGAAGGAATGGTAACAGTTCCTCTTTGTGTGTCTGGTAGAATTAGGCTGTGAACCCATCTGGACCTGGGCTTTTTTTGTGTGGTAGGCTCTTAATTGCTGCCTCAACTTCAGACCTTGTTATTGGTCTATTCATAATTTCGGCTTCCTCCTGGTTTAGGCTTGAGAGGATACATGTGTCCAGGAATTTATCCATTTCTTCCAGGCTTACTAGTTTATGTGCATAGAGTTGTTTGTAATATTCTCTGATGATGGTTTGAATTTCTGTGGAATCTGTGGTGATTTCCCCTTTATCATTTTTTATTGCATCTATTTGGTTATTCTCTCTTTTCTTTTTAATCAATCTGGCTAGTGGTCTGTCTATTTTGTTGATCTTTTCAAAAAACCAGCTCTTGGATTTATTGATTTTTTGAAGGGTTTTTCATGTCTCTATCTCCTTCAGTTCTGTTCTGGTCTTACTTATTTCTTGTCTTCTGCTAGGTTTTGAGTTTTTTTGATTTTGCTCCTCTAGATCTTTCAATTTTGATGATAGGGTGTCAATTTTGGATCTCTCCACTCTTCTCATGTGGGCACTTATTGCTATATATTTTCCTCTAGAGACTGCTTTAAATGTGTCCCAGAGATTCTGGTATGTTGTGTCTTCATTCTCATTGGTTTCGAAGAACTTCTTTATTTCTGCCTTCATTTCATTGTTTATCCAGTCAACATTCAAGAGCCAGTTGTTCAGTTTCCATGAAGCTGTGTGGTTCTGAGTTAGTTTCTGAATTCTGAGTTCTAACTTGATTGCACTATGGTCTGAGAGACTGTTTGTTATGATTTCAGTTGTTTTGCATTTGCTGAGGAGTGATTTACTTCCAATTATGTGGTCAATTTTAGAGTAGGTGTGATGTGGTGCTGAGAAGAATGTATATTCTGTGGATTTGGGGTGGAGAGTTCTGCAAATGTCTATCAGGTTTGCTTGTTCCAGGTCTGAGTTTAAGTCCTGGAAAAAATTTTTGCAGTTTACCCATCCGACAAAGGGCTGATGTCCAGAATTTACAAAGAACTCAAACAGATTTACAGGAAAAAACCAAACAAGCCCATTCATAAATGGGCAAAGGATATGAACAGACAGTTTACAAAAGAAGACATACAGGAGGCCAACAAACACATGAAAAAAGGCTCATCATCACTGGTCATTAGAGAAATGCAAATCAAAACTACATTGATACCATCTCACGCCAGTTAGAATGTCAATCATTAAAAAATCTGGAGACAGATGCTGGAGAGGATGTAGAGAAATAGGAACACTTTTACACTCTGGTGGGAGTGCAAATTAGTTCAACCATTGTGGAAGACAGTGTGGCGATTCCTCAAGGACCTAGAAATAGAAATTCCATTTGACCTAGCAATCCCATTACTGGGTATATATCCAAAGGACTATAAATCGTTCTACTATAAGGACACATGCACATGAATGTTCATTGCAGCACTGTTTACAATAGCAAAGACCTGGAACCAACCCAAATGCCCATCGATGATAGACTGGACTGGGAAAATGTGGCACATATACACCATGGAATATTATGCAGCCATCAGAAATGATGAGTTCGTGTCGTTTGTAGGGACATGGATGAATCTGGAGAACATCATTCTCAGCAAACTGACACAAGAACAGAAAATGAAATACCGCATGTTCTCACTCATAGGCGGGTGATGAACAATGAGAACACATGGACACAGGGAGGGGAGCACTACACACTGGGGTCTATTGGGGGGAATAGGGGAGGGATGGGGGGAGCTGGGGAGGGATAGCATGAGGAGAAATGCCAGATGTGGGTGAAGGGGAGGAAGGCAGCAAATTACACTGCCACATGCGTACCAATGCAACTATCTTGCATGTTCTGCACATGTACCCCAAAACCTGAAATGCAATAAAGAAAAAAAAATTTCAACAAGGCTGGGTGTGGTGGCTTACACCTGTAATCTCAGCACTTTGGGAGGCCAAGGCAGGTGGATCACAAGGTCAAGAGATCAAGACCATCCTGGCCAACATGGTGACACACTGTCTTTACTAAAATACAAAAATTTCCCCAGACATGGTGGCATACGCCTGTCATGCCAGCTACTCAGAAGGTGGAGGCAGGAGAATTGCTTAAACCTGGGAGGTGGAGGTTGCAGTGAGCCGAGATCACACCGCTGCACTTCAGCCTGGCAACAGAGCAAGACACTGTGTCAATTTAAAAAAATATTCAACAGCTTAAGTTCAATATCTTTTATGCTTCATTCCACAACTTCTTAGTGAGTTCCTAAAATTGATACAAGCAACAAAAACTTATGTCACAAATAGAACACAAATAAGGCTCAGACATTTTAAAGCTGATGGCAACATACATCAGAATAAGATTATGCTAAAATAAGGATTGTGGATTCTGTGTGATATTCTTCATGCTTGATTTTGTGCTGATGATAGTAGGATATAAGTATAAAGATAATACTCCAAATTAGAGTGTCCATCTACTGTAACACGAACTATAATCTCTATATGATACTCAATACACTACAGACGTTTGATAAATTACTACAATAAATATCCTAAGTTTCTATAGCCATATGAAGCACCTAGAAGAACCAACTATGAATCTTTTAGCCATTTACACATCTGTATTAAGTTAAAAACTTATTAGGATTAGAAGTCAAATAGAGGGCTAGTAGAATTTGAAAAGCATACATTTTTCCCTTTGAGTTTAAAGCTCCATTTTGAATGGAGTGTTGAGTGGTGAAGTCTTTACAGCATGTCTTCTGAAAGTTTTTGGTTTACTCTTCTTTTCACCTGGGTAAAGGGAATGTAGGAATGATTAACAGGGTTGTTAATGTGTAGCAGCTGAGGAAAGGCGCACCAGTTATAATATGTAGTCTGGTAGGAAGAACAATGTTGCTCTCCACCCACTTTGTTCATCTCCTAATCCATGAAAACTATGAATCTGTTACTTTAGATGGTGAAAGGGATTTTACAGAGGTGATTAAATGAAGAACATTGAAATGAGAGGATTATACTAGCATATCCAGGTGGGACAAATCTAGTCACCCTAGTCCTTAAAAGCAGAGAAACGTTGCCAGCTGTGGTCAAAGAGCGCTATGTCGATGGAAGAGTTACTGGGATGCAGCCTGAACATGGAAAGGGGCCGTGGGTCGAGGAGTGTGGGCAGCCTGCAGAAGCTGAGAGCTGGAAAATGTGGGGAATGGAGTATTGGTGAGTCGAAATTGGTTTAATAATTCCCTAACACTAATGTGCACAACAAACTCATGGACTGCTTGTTTAAAATGTTTATTTCCAGTCCCCATCCCAGGCATTCTGATTCCTTAAATCTAGTTTGAGGCTTTAAAATTCTGTAATTTAACTCCGTTTCAACAAGTGATCAAGATAGGCTTTGAAGTTCATTTTTGTTCGATCTTATGAAAAGCACATTGCCATATTTAACATTTAATAGTCTTATTTTCTATTTTTGTGTTTCAGGATCAGGGAAAAGTCTTCTGTCTCCCTCTCACACACTCACAGGCACACACACACTCTCTCACACACACAATTACTCTTGACTGCTTTCTATTAGCTGGCATGATGTAATCTCTCTAGAGATTCACAAATTTTGGACCTCAATTTTTTTTTGAGATGGAGTTTTGCTCTGTCACCAGGCTGGAGTTCAGTGGCACAGTCTGGGCTCACTGCAACCTCCACCTCCTGGGTTGAAGTGATTTTTCCACCTCAGCTTCCCAAGTAGCTGGGACCACAGGCACGTGCCACCATGCCCAGCTAATTTTTTTGTATTTTTAGTAGAGATGGGGTTTCACCGTGTTGGCCAGGATGGTATTGATCTGTTAACCTTGTGATCCTCCCGCCTTGACCTCCCAAAGTGCTGGGATTATAGGCGTGAGCCACTGCACTCGGCTGGACCTCAATTTTTGAAAACTTTTGAATCTAATCTAATACATGATTAGAAAGATCAGTAATGTCTTATTTGTTTAATCTGTGTTTTCTATGCTAGACTGTAAGCCCATCAGAGTCAACCACACAGGTACGTCCGTCTCATTAGTAGCTCTACCCACTAATGAATGTCCGACACTATTAATCAATAAATACTTTCTTTTGAGGAAAATGAAAACCATGCAAGGGTAGTTTGTCATAGGAGAGCTGTAGGGCAGAGATAGACTGGAGAAATATGACCCAAAAGACATGAAATCGCTACTTTGTAAAGATACATACACTGTTAGGTTTATGGCAGCATAATCCACAATAACTATGATATAGAAACAACCTGGGTCACCAAATGAATGAAGAAACTGTGTATGTATATACATACATAATGGAGTATTATTCCAACTTTTAAAGGGATCCTGCCATTTGCCATAACATGAATGTACCTGGAAAACATTACACTAAATGAAAGAAACCAGACACGAAAAGAAAAATGCTGCATGATCTTAGTTATACATGGAGAAAAAAAGGTCAATGATACAGACAGAGAATAAAACAGTCATTACCAGGGCAGGGTAAGAAGGAGGAAGTGGGGAGATACAGGTCAAAGAATTCAAATAGGAGATATGTAGGATGAGCAAGCCTAAAAATCTAATGTATAACATGAGGACTATAGTTAATAATAGTGTATGGCATTCAGGATTTTTGCTAAATGAGGGATTATGGCTGTTCTTGCCACAGACATTAAAAAATGAGTAACTATGTTAAGTGATGGATATGTTAATTTATTTAACTATAATAACCATTTTGCTATATATGTATCTCAATACTATTTCATCTACTTTAATACAATGAAATTTATTTTAAAGATAAAAAGGAAAGATATTTAGGAATTTAAAATGAGCAGATTTGCCAATCTAACAAGGGATTACAGAAAACTGTTCTCAATCTGTAAACTAGGTTGTTGGATGGAGATGTCTGCAAACAAGGAAGAAGCACATAGGGTAGAAAACTAGTTTGCTTTTGGAGATTATGTGTTTGAAAGGCCTATGGGAGGTGATAAGCAGAGAGTAACTGCAGATATGTAAATATACAGTGCTTCAGTGTGATAGCAAAACAGTAGCCCCCAATGATAACCATGTTGTAATTCTCAGAATTTGTGAATGTTATCTTACATGGCACAAAGCACTTTGCATATGTCATTAAGGTTAAGAACCTACAGGTAGAGAGAGTAGCTGGGTTTATCCAGGTAGGCCCAAATCTAATCATATGAGTCCTTTCAAGGAAAGTTTGCCAGATGAAGATAATCAGACATGGAAGCAGCATTGAGATGGTTGGGCCCTGCTCTTGATGGCTTCGAAGACTGAGAAAGGCAGCCTCGAGCCAAGGAATGCAGGCAGCCTCTAGAATGGGTTGGAAAAGGCAAGAAAATAGAATCACTCACAGAGCCTCTAGAAGGAACCCAGGCTTGCTAACCACCTTGACTTTTGGCCTGGTGAAGCTGATTTTATACTCCTAACCTTCATAACTGTGAAATAATAAACTCATGCCATTTTAAGTAGCACGCTTATGATAATCTGTTACAGCAGCAGTATAAACTGAATATACCAACATCTTTCCTGCCACTGCTACTAAAAGAAAACCAAAATGTACAAGACTTATTGGCACAACTCTCTTAGGCCACATTTTCTGGAGCCAAGAAAGGAGGAAACGCTTCTCCTTGATTCCCTTTGTCTGTGAGACATTTTTTTAGTTGTTCTGGGTTTTCACAGACAGAAAGCTGCTGAGTGAACTCTCGGGAAAGTATTCTTCGGCGCACACAGAAAATCAAGACACGTTTACATTCCGTCAATCCCAGGGTGAAAACCAGACTTCAAGAGAAATCCACACGCTCTCAGCCATTTCCCATTCTCAATATGTAGCAGTTATGGTTTGCCCCATCACTAGTGAAACTCCTCTGAGGGCTTCCTGAGAAGACAGGTGAGCTGCATGTCTATGAAGAGTCTGACCCCATCAGATCTGTCAGCATGGACATGTTTAGAAGCAATGTTCTTGGTTACATAGTTTTTTTTTCCTGTCATCTCTCATCCTTCTTGTTCAACATTACAATCCATTCTCAAATGTGTTTGGAGAATTGAAAATGGGCCTGTCTGGCCATTGTGGGGGAAAAAAAAAAAAGAATATTAGGCAAGACCAGAGGAGTGGTACTTGAGATGGCACAAGCTGAGAACCTGCATCCAGTGAAGCTGTCTGATGTTTAATCTTGTGGCTAAAATGGGATTATGGGCTTTTGGGTGGATAACAGTCTTTCCTTGCATACCAAGGAGAGTGTATCCTATTGACCTATCTTATCACTGCTGATATTACCTTAGATCACCTGTCCATTTCCTCCAAAGTTAGTCTTCTTTCATCTTTCCATGTTCTAGTCTTTAAAAGGAAACCACTATGTACAGCCTGCGTGGAAGGAGTGGGGAGTTATGTTCTGCCTTCTTGAATGTAAAGTACCTATACAAGTTATCTGGAATTTTTCTACATGGGAACTTGTCTGTTCTCTTCTATTACTCAATTATTTACAGTGTATGGACTGAGTGTTTACTTACACTTTGGTTTATCATTTGTTACTATATTTTTCTGCTCAAATTGTTTTAGCTTTGGCCACTGTGTGTTCTTTCAGTTGGCACCTGTGACCCTTTGACATACCATTATCTATGTGTTTTGTTTATTTTAAGGACTTTTTTTCTTTCTGGCACTACAAAATGCCCTGGGCTTATCTTATATATTTTATGCTCTATTCCTGAAATCAGTCACTCCTTCTTTCCAGGAAATTCTGGTTACTTTTATTGGTGAACAGTGTTAGGAACCAAGATCTGGGTTAGATATGCTTATTGCTACTGGGGAATTGTTGCTTCTGAGGCCTCCTCAGCTAATAGAGTAAGAAAATAATAGTACACTAACTTAAGGATATATACATGTAAATATTTTATGTGTCACTATATTGGTCTACATTAATCAGAAAATGAGATCATACAGATGCCTACAGCTCTAATCCATCACCACATGGGTCATTCCACACTCCTCCCCTTTCCTATTTCTAACCTCAGATACTATAATTGACAAATTTGGATTCCACTGCTCACCACTCACTTTACTGAACTGTTCAATTCTATCATACTTACATAGTGGTTTCAGATTTATTGCCCAGACATGCAAGAAAAACAGCTTTACCAACTAACTTTATCAACTAGAGTACAATGCTTGTGTAACGGTCTTTTAACTTTATTCCTGCACATCTTATTTCCAAGGTTAATTAGGTCAGTACTTTACCCCCATTCCTTTGAAAGAGGCTGTTCCACACATTTGTAATTCAGTTAGAGTCTTCTGTCATAATTTTCATTTGATCATGATCATGTGATCCCAAACTCCTTAAGTTACTTGAAAAAAATGCATATATTTAATGATTATTTTTTTCTGCTATAGAGTTCTATGGGTAGTGTCATAGGGCCATCATTGTAGCTCCATATATGATGGTTTATCCACCCCCCAAAGCTCCTGTGTTTCACCTATGTAACCACTCTTTAGTCCCTAGCACCACTGATCTATTATCTTTATAGTTTTTCTTTTTCCATAATATCATATGAATAGAATTATATAATATGTAGCCTTTGCACACTGGTTTCTTTCACTTAGCAGTATGTATTTCAGATTTACATGCCTCAACATAGCTTGATAGCTCGTTTCTTAAAATCACGGAATAGTATCCTACTGAGTGGCTGTACCACTTCTGGTTTATCCGTCTACTTTTTGAAGGACATTTGTGTTGTTTCCCATTTTTTGTAATTAAGAATAAAGTGACAGTAGAAATTCATGTGCAAGTATTTGTGTGGATACAAATCTTAAGTTAGGGAAATAGTAGGAACTTTATTGTTAGATTATATGGTGAAACCATGTTAAATTTTTGAAGAAACTTGACACTATCTTGCAAAGTGGCCATATTATTTTGTATTTCTGCTAGCAGCGATTGAGAGTTCCTGTCACTTTGTATCTTTGCCAGCAGATGGTATTGTCAGGACATCTTAATTTTAGTTCAGGGAGCCCCACATAATACTTCTCATGTATAGAATTAAAAAATAATAAATTTTCGTTGTCTTAAGCACAACAGGTATACTAATTTGTTACAGAAGCAATAGAAATCCAAACACATGTACACAGTGTTTATCTTTTAAAGAATACAGAAATGTTTGTGTTTATCTTATGGTCCACATCCAATGATGTCTTCTTTA